TGAATTAATTATTTTCTTTGAAGAGTGATCAAACTGATATTCAGTTAGGTTCACTGTTTCTGTTGTGGTTGGCTTTGGGGTTTGCGGTTTTCTTTCTTTTGGATCTAATTTAAATCTAATTTAAACCCAAAACTGTCTAAAAAAGTATAATCAGGAAAGTTTCATGCCCGTCTCTATCTCCTCTACCTTGTTCCCACCCACTCTATAGGTAACCGTTTAAATTAATTTCTGGTTTATGCTTTGTGTGTGTTAGTGTGTGTGTGTTTGCAAAAAAACTCTTCTTATTTCTCCTGCTTTCTCAACTCAAAGGTGGCATATACTATCTGCACTCTTTTGCATCTTGCATCTTCCATTTAACATATCCTAGAAATCACATCATATCAGTTCACAGGGCTCCTACTTTTTTTGGCTGCATAGTACTCCATTGTGTGGATGTACTGTTGTTCATTCAGCCAGTCTGTTAAAGATGAGCATTGGGTAGTTTCCAGTGATTTCCTTTCCTGTTACAAATATGCCTTAAAGAATCACCTTGTGCATATGTCTTCTTGTATCTGTGAATGTGCATTTTCTGGATAAATTCCTAGAAGTAGGACTGCTGGGTAAATGCATATGCTGTTTTGTTAGATATTGCTAGCTTGCCCTCTGTAGGAGTTATACTGGTTTGCACTTTTAGCACTGATTTTGCAACCTAGGTGGATCCTGCAAGAGGTGCTCTGAGCTGAGAGTTTCCCCGAGCCTATATGTGAGAGTCCTTGACCTCCCCACCAGTAAACACACTACCTCACACTCCCCGTGCCCTAGTGATCTGGCAGGAAGGCAAGAGCAAAGGGGTCTCACTGATTCCATTCCAGTTCATCATCCTGAATTGTCCCAGAGCTTTCTGTACTTCACTTGGGAAATCAGAGCACAGAGAAGTGATGGGGCTAAAAACTTCGGCCAGAGAGGAATTAGAGTGGCGAAGGCAGTAGAGAGGAAGGACCCTTGCCCCTTGATGCCTCAATTCTCACCTCCCTTTTCCCTCCTTTGGCCTTTCCACTATCCCACCCGCCACCCACTCCCCAACACAAATTGGCTCCAAAGGCTCCTCTGCTGACCGGGAGCCCTTGGCTCTGGTCCTAACTGGATCCTGCCTGGTTTCCCTCCTCAGACCACATTCCTGTGGGCTGAACACAGAGGGCTGGCTTAAGGTGGAGGCAGAATTCAAAAGTCCCTGTCATTTCTCTTTTAACATGTGCAGAGGAAGTTAAGTCAGTGGAGCAAGTCTGGCTCATTACAAGGGAAAGAGGAAAGAGGAGACAAAGAGAGATGTTGGGAGAGGAAGCACAAAACATTCCGCACAAGCCTTGGGGACTCCAGCCCCAGGAGCTGCTTTCTTTCTATGACCCGCTCTACAAAAAGGGGAAAGGGGAAATGAGCAGGGGAAAGGATGTCATCCCAGTTTGACCAAATACCAATTGGGGATGATGGGAATCAACAGGGACCTGGGCTGGGAAGGGAGCTCTGTCTGAGGGATAGGCTGGGGGGGAAGACATCAAAGGGCTGGAAGAATTCGTCCAGGGAAAGCAGTGAGGCCCCACGGCAGGGCATTCCTCTTCAAGGTCAAACCAAACACCTGGGTCAACCTAAGCCAAACATGATTCTTAAGGTCCTGGGGAGCCAGAACGACCACTTTCCTCTCCTCCCCCCAAAGCTTCATGGATCTGGAAAGCCCTAAATGGGCAGGGCTTATCCATATCTTTGGGTGCTTGGTCCCAGACCAAGAACATAGACAAAAAAGAGTAAAGGGCCCACGAGGATTACCGAGAGCAGCTAAATTCTTGAAATAGAGGCAGTTTCCTGTGGAATGCTGAGTAGCTGACAGGTGGCAGCTGAGTCAGGGCTGGGCCCAGTAGCCCCAGGGCCCCTCTTCCTCTGAAGACCCTCCAGCCAACGCCGGGGAAGAGTGAGGCTCCCCAATATCATTGCTCAGGGACCGCCAACCCCCCTCCACACCGCGTTACTTCTTCCAGCACTCACCCCTTGGGCAAACTAACTGCTCTCCTCCAGCCCGTAACTGGGCATTCCCATTTTGACTTTGTTCTGACACCAAACACCAAAGAAATCGGACAAACCTGACTCAGCCACTCCCTCCCACCATTACAGCGGGTGCAGGCTTTCCACTGTGCGGAGGGGAACTGAAGCCCACATCAGCCCGGAGGACAGTGATTCTCTGGCTCTCCCAGAATGTCACTTCCTTCTTTCAGCAAACGTTGACCAAGCACCTTATAACCTGTCAGGTACTGTGTTAGGTGCCGAGAGTCCCGGGGCTAAGACTGTGCCTCCTTCGATCCAGCCTCGAATCCAGACTTGCCCTTGAATCCAGCCAGGGACACGGCGGTGGCAGCGGGCCGGGGAGGGGCCGGGGAGGGGCCGGGGAGGGGGCCGGAGGCTCAGCGCAGGCCGGAAGGCAGCAAACCTGGGCTTGGCCGCTCGAGCGCCTCCCGCGCGGAGTACTCGCGGGTAGGCGGAGCCGGGGGGGGCGGAGCCGAGCTGCGGG